CTTTAATTCTTCCTTCTTTTCTATGTATCTTTTTTCTTCTTCTTTCTTTCCTTCCTTTTTTCCTTTCTTCCATTCCTTGCTTACTTGCTTACTTTCTTTTTCCTTCTTTCTTTGCTTTCTTACTTATTTCCTTCCTTCTTTTATTAATTACTTCCTTCTTTTTTCCTTATTTCTTTCTTTCTTCCTTCCTTCAGTTATTGCTTATTTCTTTCCTTCCTTCTTTCATTCATTCATTTATCTCATCATTTATTCATTTATATCTATCTATCTATCTATATATCTATCTATCTATCTATCTATCTATCTATCTATCTATCTATCTATCTATCTATCTATCTATCTATCTATCTGTCTGTCTGTCTGTCTGTCTGTCTGTCTGTCTGTCTGTCTGTCTGTCTGTCTGTCTGTCTGTCTGTCTTTGTTTTCTTAATTGTCATTCCTTCTTTCAATCATTCATTCCTTCTTTCTTTCCTTTCTTATTTCTTTCCTTCCATTCATTCATTCATTCATTCATTCATTCATTCATTTATTCATTATTTCTTTCTTTTTCTTCTTTCTTTCCTTCCTTATTTCAAACCTTTATTCTTTCTTTATTTCTTGCCTTCTTTCTTTCCTTCCTTATTTCTTATCTTCATTATTTCTTTATTTCCTCTCTCCTTTGTTCTTTCTATCATTACTTACCTATGTCCTTCCTTTCTCCCTACCTTTTTTTTAGGTTAAATGTACAGATAATTAAATTCTTAAACCTAAAATATTAAAATACAATTTACATTTTTTATTATTTTCTTTAAAATAAAATACATTCAGTCTGCAATGTCTATTCTGTAACGTTATATGCAGTGTGATGTGCAGTTTTGTTTTTCAATCTGTTTTGCCCAACAATAATCTAACAATAAATGTTTCACACACAGTATTTCTAAGACAAACCCAGAGTCTCTTTTCTGGCTAATCTAATTTAAATATAAATATAAATGAAAAATTATCATGAAAAATCTCATCCAGTAGCTGGCCATGAGCCTGTGTAGACATGTTAAGATGGAAAGCAGAAGGTTACATTTTAAAGCATAATTGATCAGTGATATATTTCGTGTGGCTAAAGAGTGGCGGATGGGTTACTGTAATGATATCCCACGAAATTGAATTATCTCCAAGCGTTAAAAGCTACATGCTCCACTTGACTGGGGAAAATGACTAAATGCTGAGTGCTCTCGTCTGAACTCCAGTAACCTCTGGTGGAAAACTTATGCAGCGAGCGAAATGAACGTCCCTTGGCAGACCAGTGTTTATAGAGCTTATTTTACCTGTCTCTGTTTGTCTTTCTGATTGTGTTATTTTACAGTCATTGCAACACGGTACCTGGAGATTTGCTCTCTTCTATTAAACAATGACGGAAGCGGTTGAAATACTGTTCAGAGAGCAGTTTAAAGACGACAGCTAAAATTGCAATGAGTTGAAAAAAAGCTTTACCTGCCAACAGATTGTGCCCCACAGACAGATAGGATGGAGTAACATTAGATCCTGTAGACAGCTGGTGTTCACAGTATAGATTGGATTGCAGAGCCGCTCTGTGAACAGATACAGCAAATCAAAGATGGTATAGCAAAGGATATGTGCTGGATTAGACTTGAGACACTGCACGTTTCATATTAGGATCAAAAATAAATATAGAATTAAATTAAAATATATCAAATAAAGACAATAAAAAACCTCATCCTAATAATAAATTTAATACTAATTTGATCCGAATTTAAACCGAATTCTTCATCCTAATAATAAATTCATCTTAATGATAAACTTAAACGTTAATTGCTGCATACCTCTACACTCATAACAGGCAATAAATATCATTTAAAATATTAAAAATCTACATCCTATAAAACTACCCAATAATGCTAAATGAAATAAAGATTGTACACATTAATTATAAATGTTAATTGCAATATGAATCTATGCCTATAAAAAAATTTAAATAAAAATTATTTATTCTAATTATAAATTTAAATGTCAATTTACTGAATACGTCTGATCCTAATTAAAATTGTTTATAAATATTTTTATGTGTTTATAAAATAAAATTAAGCAAAATGAAATAAAAGTAAAGATTGTACATGTTTATTATAAATGTTAATTAATTAGTAATATAAGTTCATGTCAGGGCGATGCAGTGGCGCAGTAGGTAGTGCTGTCGCCTCACAGCAAGAAGCTCGGTGGTTCGAACCTCGGCTCAGTTGACGTTTTTGTGAGGAGTTTGCATGTTCTCCCTGCATTCGCGTGGGTTTCCTCCGGGTGCTCCGGTTTCCCCACAGTCCAAAGACATGCGGTACAGGTGAATTGGGTAGGCTAAATTGTCCGTTGTGTGTGTGTGTGTGTGTGTGTGTGTGTGTGTGTGTGTGTGTGTGTGTGTGTGTGTGTGTGGATGTTTCACAGAGATGGGTTGCGGCTGAAAGGGTATCCGCTGTGTAAAAACGAGCTGGATAAGTTAGTGTTTAATTCCGCTGTGGCGACCCCGGATTAATAAAGGGACTAAGCCGACAAGAAAACGAATGAATGAATGATGTTCATGTAAATAAAATAAAATAAATTCTTCATCTTAATTCTAAATGTATATGTTAGTTGCTGCATAAGTCAATGCTCATTAAAAAACAATACATTTAACTAAAATTCATTCTTTTTCTTGACATTTCTAAATGTCACGAGGGACATGATCGAATGCCTTCTCCAGGTTCACAAAACACATGTGGACTGGTTGGGCATACTCCTATGAACCCTCGAGCCCTCGAGCACCCTGCTGAGGGTATAGAGCTGGTCCAGTGGTACACATTAAATTAAATTAAATTAAATTAAATTAAATTAAATTAAATTAAATTAAATTAAATTAAATTAAATTAAATTAAATTAAATTAAATTAAATTCTTCATCCTGATTATACATTTAAATGGTAATTGCTGCATAAATCTATAAGTTTATTTACTTGCGTAAATGTGTGTAAATTTATATTTATTCTGTTTTTAAATAAATTTCCGTAATATTACTGACTAATATGAAAATGTGCATATAGTTTATTTACAATACAGTTTGTAAAGTAATATGTTCTTTCTTTAAGTAGATAAATAGACCACTTGATTTTTTTACCAAATAAAGTGGATCTTATTGGATTTGCAACATAAGCATTAAATAAAAGTTAAAAAGGTATTACTTTTTATTTCAGAAAGTCTGCAGATTTTTAACAAAATTCTGCCCAGAAATAGCAAAAAATGTCAGCAGATTCCGTCTGGAATCTACATCTACAAGTAAATCTTATAATTAAAATTACTCATGAATTAAATTTTAATAAATTTAATGTGATTAAATATATAATAAAAAAAAACTGCATCCTAATCATAAATGTTAGATGTTATTGAAACATATGAAACACTCATAAATATTAAAATAATCGAATCAATTTTTTTTATTACTTCCTAATAATAAATTTAACTGTTAATTGAAGCATATGGCATAATCATAATAAAATAAAATAAAAATACATATATTGTCTTTTTTTTTTTAAAGGTAATTTTAATTGCAGCAAAAATCACTTATGCAAACAGTTTAGCAGTATGAGGATGCTAGAAAACTGAGAGAAGGGTTTAGTCATCCGTGTGCAGGAATCAGTAAACAATTCATGAATCAATAGTGTAAAAGAGGAGTATGCTTAAACAAACAACATGTTCAATAGGGAAACAGCCTTGTTTTTATTAAAGTACAATAGACAGGCAAGACAGCCAGAGGGTCTGTAAGCATAAAAGTGAAGCTTGTATTTTTGCTTTGTACCTATATTAATATTTCAGTTTGTTGTTGCAGATGTTATGTTGTCTGAATCCTTCTTCAACATGGAAGAATTATTGTTTTTAGAGCTGGGTTGAGTTTCAAAATCAACATTATGACCCTACCTGACACTTCGATAGAAAAGTATAGCAAACATAATCAGATTTCATTCATTTATTAAAAAATAAATACGAGAAAAGAAGACAAAAAATTATTACATTTATTTATTTTACAAAGAGCCAAATATATTTTTAATTTGTCCATAAGGTAAAATCCAATGTGTTAGTTCCTTTGTTTTGTTTTTGTTTTTTAACACTTCTATCAATTGTTGTTAATAAAATATCAAATAATTAAACTAAAATATAATCTTATCTAATCTACAAATTAATGATACATAGAATTAGATATAAATAATTAAATGCAAAATTTAATAATTAAATAAATGCTCATTTAAACTTAAATTCTAATTATAAATGTAAATAATTATTTCATAATAAATCCACGCAAGTGATAAAATGAAAAAAATAATATTATACAAATTAAATCAAAATAGAATCTAAAACAAAATAATTAAATAAAAATAAAAATATTACATAATATTTATATCAAATATACATATAAATGTGCAAGATTATAAAAAATAAATGCAAAATTTAATAAATAGATGGTCATTTAAAGTCTACATCCCAAAAATTTCATTAAAATGTATTATAAAATAAAATAATTAAATATACAAATTAAAAATGATATAATATACATATTATTTACACATATAAATGTATTTAAAAGTTTAATAAATAAATGTTAAATACATTAAATAAATGCTTATTTAAAATCTACATCTTAAATAAAGTTTATTACATAATTAATCTATGCAAGTAATTAAATAAAAATATTAAAATTAAATATAATATAATATAATATAATATAATATAATATAATATAATATAATTTAACATAATATTCATTTATCCTTAATTTTTTTGGCTTTGTTAAGCCGAAAAGAAAATTATTGAGTGAATAATATAATAAAAAATAATATAATATAATATAATTAATATAATATAATTTTAAAAACGTTAATTGGATCATGCTCAAAAGTAACAATAAAATGTATTTATTTATTTCATTATTTATTGGATTTTTGTTTGTTTATAAGCTTTAATGGTTTTTCTTCATTCCTGTGTATCTGTCAGCTCACAGGAGGAGGCGACACAGGTAAGTGAAACTGAACAAGTGTTTATTGATAGGAATCAATCAGCGGGAAGAGATGGATGGCAACACGTGATTTAACAGGCTTCTTGAATGTAATCCAAAAGACTTAGCGGGCAGTAACAGTATCTGGTGTTGTTGCAGGTGATGTCGGGAAGAAGATAAAGGCAGACGAAGATGAGCTGATCAAAAAGGTAAGTGAATCAGCCAACAGACATCTAACCTTGAGCCCAGACAGGTTAAAAAGGTAAAAACAAAAATCACTAATAGTTATCACGACAGTACCCCAGTTTATTGACTTTGGGAAACATTGATTTTAAGGTTATGTTTACACTATGAATTAAATACAACATAGCTGGACTGGGCAATTTGGCCTAAATTAAATAAGAACGATTATTTTATTTATTTATTTATTTATTTTTGCCCTCATAATTTTGTTTGCCGTCTAAAGGCATCTCTGTCGCAGCTTCCAATCATCCTCAATGTAGTGCAAAGTAAGGATCAAGAATGAGTTCATCGTTCTACTTGACCAGAGATCAGGGGCCTCATGTATACAGTGTGTGTATATAATACTATATATTATATATATATATATATATATATATATATATATATATATATATATATATATATATATATATTATATGTATATAATAATGATTCCTACTTGTCTTCCTCGTGATGAAGAGTAGGCAAAATCTGACATGTAGTGGGGGAAAGAAGAGTTCATCAGACGTTGGATTCGAACCGAGTTCATGATCGAACGTGTCAAAACATGTTGCCATGCGCTTTACGAGCTACGCCACCCACACTGCTGTTTGCCGCCCTCTTTAGTCTTGTTGTCTCTGTCAGTCAAACGGTGATAGGTGGGAATCACTCAACTACCTCATTCCAACGAGGTGTGCTATTTACACTTAGCCTAAATAGACACTACAAATTTGACACCTTTACATCAGACCATTTCTTTTTAATTCACTCACAGTGCGATGTTTAGACCCAACTGCGTTAATCGTGTCAGCTAATCTCTCCCACTCTATTTTTTTTTCTTTTGTTATTAATTCCAGAGGAAAAACGTTCAAATAACACCGTTTTTCTCTGGTCTACCTCCGAATGAAGCACCTCCAATTCATATTCCATTTCTTTTTTTGCTTGCTATTGCTTTTTCGTTTGGTTTTGCCAAAGTGGAGTCATTACCATATTTATTAGGGGGAGGAGGCAGAGAGGGTTTTTGCGCTCGTGCACGTGCACTCAGTTTCACGTTAAGTCGGATGTACAAAGAGAATATGCATGGTATTCCGTGTACGCAGTGTTTCAAACATCTGAATTTTTTTACTGCATACACACATTTACAGCTTTATACGTACGCAATGTTTTAGTATGAATTTAACGTCTTCGTACATGAGGCCCCAGATGTGGCTGCAAAGTGCCTGCAGAAGTAAAAATCAGCCACAGCCTTTAACAGAGCGTAACACGTGACACATAGGTAAAGTAATTGAAAAAATTGTCCAGGAAAAATTTGATCGATTATAGATTCTGAATGACGATTTCGATTACTTTTCGATTAATCGCCCTGCCCTACAACACAGGTTCATTCTGAAAATGTAGCCCTATATACATTTCTGGAAATCACAAATTATGTAGCCAGAAGTACGTATGGCTGCATTTCATTTTTAAAACAAACGCTACAGGGCGATATGATGCCTTTCTTTTTCTTGCTTACTAGCTGACTGCTTACCTCTGTATGAACGGCTTTCACGCTGTTACCAGTTTGTCCAGTGGCTTGCCACGTACGTTGGCGGACTTGAGACGCAGAGAGGAGTTGATCACGATGTCGGGGTTAGAGTCTGGCAAAGAACAGTTCCAGAAAGCAGGTAAGACAAAAGCAGAAGCCAAAAAATGTAATAAACAAGTAGATTACATCAGGGTGAGAATGTGGTGAAATCCGAAAACGTGGTAAAAATCAGGCAAGGGCTTTTCTATTTTTGGATTGCTTTTGAAAATTGTCGGTTGGGTTAAGGGAAGTGGGTAAGCAGGTCAATCGGTGGTTTTGAAAACACTATTGGTTGGGTTTAGGGAAGGAGGGTGGGTTAGTCGATTGGTCAGTCATTCAGTTAGTTGACAGCAGCCTCTGGTGGATTAATGCAAGAACAACAGGTGCAAATGGCACTTGCGAGAGAAATTTGAAATCTGAAAAAGCCTCACATTTTTTATTAAGATTGTGTTGGCTATATAATCAAATTATGAATGAAAATATGATCTACAAACTTTAAGAACATAAAGATTAATAAAACTATACAGTTTGCTATTTTTTTTATTTATTATTCATTGATATATTTCAAAATACTCAATAGGGAGTGAAGGTTTTTTTGGGGAGGGGGGGTGGAATAAAAGGTTTTCTTCTGTTTTTCTTTAGAGAAGGAATCAACAGTTTGGTTATTTATTTATTTTCATTTTTTAGGTAAATAGACTAATTCCCATGTATTTTCACTCGTCGTCATTTTGGTTTTGTTTTAATTTTTGACTTTTTTTTTTTTACCCCAACCAAGTTTCTCTTTTCTTTAATGACACATTGTTGTATCTAACTTGATTCATAAACTCAGAAAGTTGTTGCTTAATTACTGTTAATCTTTAGTGTTGCTTGCTTCCCCTACCCTAGATGGGAGGATGTAAGGTAACACTTTACATTAAGCATGTATAAGGTAATACAATAGTTAATCTATTTACTAACATGAAAAACACATTTATCACAGCATTCACTCATATTTGCTAATGTTAGTCAATAGTAATAAAGTTGTTCGTTGTTAGGTCATGTTAACTAAAAGTGGATTAACTAATGTTAACAAGCACATCTTTGGATTTTAATAATGCATTCGTAAATGTTGAGCTATGATTAATTAATACTGCACAAGTATCGTTCATCATAGTTCATGTTTGCGAATACATTAACTAACATGAACTAATGAAAGCTTATTGTAAAGTTTTACCAGAAGTAACAAGAAGTCAAACAACGTCATTCTAAAAATTGACAGTTAAATGAAAAAACAGTGTCTGTGTCTGAAGTGTTTTTCTCGGTTTAATTTAATTGTTAGAGTTTTTATAATTGCAGCATTTCACTTTAAGTTTCCCAAAGAACGTAGAAGTGCTCAGTTTGAGTTTGCAAAACACTGTTCTCAGGTGAGGTTCATTCGTTGTCCACTACTCGGCTCTGTGTACATTATCTCTCGCTTACACACACACACACACACACACACACACACACACAGAGAGAGAGAGAGAGAGAGAGAGGAGAATGAGAGAGAGATTCTGAGAGATTGGGAGTTTGTAAGTTATGTGGATTCTCCATAGGCGTATTGTATTTTATACAGTATAAACAGCTCATGATATGGCCCTATGCTACCCCTACCCCTAAACCCCAGCACTCAGGAAACCTGTGGCAAAATTTTGGATGTCAAAAGACCTCGTTAAGTATGATTTTTAATAATTTTGGATTACAAAGCTATAAGGTAGTTCCTCATAAATCATCTCAATGTTGTAATACCTAAGTCACACCATGCCATTTTACAAATATATCTTTGTAAACCACCAAAAGCAGCACACACACATGAACACAAGTTGTTTTATAATGTATGAGGACTCTCTATAAGCGTAATGTATTTTACACAGTAAAAACAGCTTATTATATGGCCCTATCCTACCCCTACCCATAAACCCCAACACTCTCGGGACACCTGTGGCAAAATTTTGGATGTCAAAAGACCTAATTAAGAATGATTTTTAATAATTTTGGATTACCAAGCTATAAGGCAGTTCCTCATATCACCTCAGTGTTGTTATACCTAAGCCACACCATGTTATTTTACAAATATATCTTTGTAAACCATTAAAACCAGCACACACACACACACACACATAAACACAAGCTGTTTAATAATTTATGAGGACTCTCTGTAAGCATAATGTACTTATACAGTAAAAAAAACTTGTTATATGACCTTTCACTATACCCTGTCCCTATCCCAACCCTCACAGGAATCTTATGCAATTTTTTAATGTGAAAAAAACCCTCAAGTATGATTTTTAACAGTTTTAAATAACAAAGACACAATGCATATCCTCATAAACCAGGTAAAGTTGGTTTTATATTCACAATTCTAAATAGTGAAATCATATTAGCAGCCAATGACTATCAAAGTAGGTTAAAACACTGTTCACTGTCTATTAATTGGTGCTAATATTGTTTTGAAGTCACACATACACGTCTGAATATTCAAAGTACCATGGTAAATAATATAGGGAGCTGTCACTAAACGTATGTGCGGATATAAAACCAACTTTACCTCAATACATTGTGATTCGGGTCATACCCATGTCATTGTGTCCTCATAAACTACATAAACAAGCACACACGCACACACAGAGACTGGGGGAAGTGGGCGAGGTTTTGCTCACCTCAGGGATGCTGGCAGACAGACAGTATTTGATCGCAGTAGTAGAGTAGGCGTCATCAGGGGAGCTCCTGAAAGAGAAAATGCTGCCGGACTGAACACTCGCTCTCCGGCCGCACGCACGGACAGCTCTGCTCTCCCCGATGGACGAAAAGGTTTCCTGAGGCGCACTGAATCCGACAATACAAGCGGCTGTTAAACCTGGACCAAACTGACTGCTGTTCGCTTCACATTAAAATGGGAGTAAACGGAAAACATCTCCGTGTTTTATCTCACACTTTTAAGCGATATCATTTCACCGTCTGGCTCATGTGTTCCTTCGTTTTGTCCGATGAAGCACAGTGTCCTTTCAACTGCACATGTTTTAACAGATCTGTGATGTGCGAGGACTCTGACGAGATCAAACTACCTCTAGAAGTGCCTAGAAGGACACAGATCCTGACTTTAAACAATGTAAACATGTCAGTATTGATAGAGAGAGCGTTTTCAGCCAACGGGACAAATGCGCACAGTCTCCATGAGCTGTCATTGCGGGACAACAACATACAAGTGATTCAAAGTTGCGCGTTTTGTGGACTCCACAGACTCCATTTGTTAGACTTGAGTCGCAATCGTTTAGAGGATGTGCATCCTGAAGCTTTTTCTGAGTTGAATCAGCTGCGTAATCTGAATCTCAGTTACACTTTAACTGCAGCGGGTGCGAATCAGCTATCGAGCGCACTGGACAGTCTGAGCAATCTCCAGATTCTGGACCTTTCTGGAAACCGTTTGAAGACTATCCCTCTTTCTGGGTTTGGGAAATTCAGTTTAACCATGCTCAACCTCACGCATAATTCAATCACAACATTGGATACCAATGAGCTAACTAAATTAAGCGAGTACAGGGAAATGCGCGTTTACTTGTCGCACAACCCGTTCGACTGTAGATGTGACAGACTGAGGGAGTTTCACGATTGGCTGAAGAACAGCTCGCAGTGCGCAGACTCCAAAAACTTGAGATGCGCGCTACCCAAAGTGCAGAAGGATTTACGCGTGGAGAGCGTGGACTGTAAAAACGTGGGCTCTTTTGTTCTTCTTGGCATTGTGCTGGCGCTCATCGGCGTGGTGTTCCTTATGGTGTTGTATTTGAACAGGCGAGGCATTAAAAGGTGGCTCAACAACATTAGAGAGGCCTGCCGGGATCAAATGGAGGTGTATCATTACAGATATGAACAGGACTCCGATCCAAGGTTGACAAACGTTGCTGTTTAAGCAGAAGAACCTGCTGGTGTGTAATTTCCTTGAACTCTTCGCGGAGATGCTGACAGCCAGACAGGAGTTTTGTGGCATTTACAGTGCTCAGCATAATTGAGTACACCCCATTTTAAAATGAATATTTTATTATATTTTATTTCTCAGTAAATATAATATTATTTTTATTATTATTTATTATTTTTAATATTATTAAATATAAATATATTATTAAAATTATAATTTAGTCACCAAATATATTTAGAAATGGAAAGATAATACAGTACAATTAAATTCAAGCAAAATACTACAAAAGAAAATTACAATCTACAACAATTCAACAAAAATGTTTCGTTTTTTTTTTTTGCTTCTCTTAATTTTTATTTTAAAATGAATATTTTATTATATTTTATTTCTCAGTGAATAAAATACTATTTTTAATATTATTTATTATTCTGAATATTATAAAAGATATATATTTATTAAAATTATTATTTAGTCACCAAACTTATTTAGAAATTGAAAGATATTACAATTGAATTCAAACAAAATACTGCAAAAGAAAATTACAATCTACAAAATTACAAAGCAATTTAATTTTTTTATTTATTTATTTTTTGCTTCTCTTGATTTTTCATCTTTCTAAAATTTGTATTTAACATTTTTCTATAACATAAATTTGGGGGTACTAGTTTTTGGACCATTATCATAAATTATTTTGTTAGATTAGCTCCAGATTTGGCTTCAGTACTGACTAATCTAATGTATATGCACTAATATAATATTGTATAGCTTCCTATTAAAAAATGTGAATTTAAAAGAGAGATTTGTGAGGGGTGTACTCATATATGCTGAGCACTGTATGTTAGCTGTGAGACAAGCAACCTGTTTAAAATTGACATTCAGTAGAAAGTCTTTTAAATAATGTTTTTTTTTTTTTTTTTTTGGTAATGCCTTACAATAAGGTTGTATTAGTAATTTTAATAATGTGTTTACTAACATGAACAAACAATGAATGAACAATACATTTATAACAGTATTTATTTATCTTTTTTACGTTAATGGAAATAAGTTGTTCAATGTTAGTGTATTTGAACTCACAATTCAATTCATCATTATTTCTATAGCGCCTTTACAATATACATTGTCAAAGCAGCTTCACATACTAATGTAATGTAAATTGAAACTGTCAGTCCAGTTTTCAGAGTTAAAGTTCAGTTTAGTCTAGTTCAGTGTGTTTTTTTACTATTGAAAGTCCAAACACTGAAGGTCAAATCCATCGATGCGCAGCTCCAAAAATTACAAGGCATATTAACTAAAGTAAACAAGCATAAATTTGGATTTTATTAAAGTAGAATTGTTCTTTTTAGTAAATACATTAACTAATGAAACCTTATTGTAAATTGTGATGGTTCATTTTAAATGTGTCAGGCTGATACATTGTTGAAGATTTCTCATTTCAGAAAAAATGTATTATATTCCAAAGTCACAAAAAGATCCACCTCAGTATATATGATCAGTTTTAATATTACTTTTCAATAATGAGACCTCATCAACGATGTATGCAGCCAAACAATGCGACCTCCAGAGCACACAGCCATCCAAATGAGATGCAGCTAAATGTTTGGAATTATGGGCATTTAATAACTCAGGTTGCACTCATGGGCGTGTCTGATTTTTATTTATTTTTTGTCCAATGAAAGTCTAGTAGTGAGAATGCCCCTCCCACCTGCATGTGACTATCTATAAAAAGGGATAGTTCACGCTAAATTACAATTCTGGAATCATTTACTCAGTCTCCACATGACCAAATGGGTTTGTTTGTCTTACCTCTGTTAACCACAAAATATTTGAGGAAATGTTGGAAACTTGGTAGCTCTTGGCCACCTGTATTTTGTTTTACTATGAATGTCAATGGCTAAAAGGTTTCCAACACTTTTAATAATAGCCTAGAAGGAGAAAAACTCAAATGTTAGCAATCCAGCACAGACTCATTCTGGAAACATACCCCGATATACATTTCTGGAGATCGTGAATTATGTAGCCGGAGGTATGTATGGTTGCATTTCGCCTTTAAAACGAATGCTAGGGGGAGGTATTACTGCGTTCCTTTTCATGCTTATCAGCTGACCGCTGACCTTCGTATAGACTGCTTTCACACTGTCACCAGTATGTCTAGTAGCTCGCCATGTACGTTGCTGGACTTGAGACGCAGCGAGGAGCTGACCACGATGACAAGGTTAGAGTAAGTAAAAAGTAAATTCGAAGAACAGTTCGAGAAAGAGGGTAAAACAAAAACAGAAGCCAAAAAATATAATGAACCAGTAAATAACAGGGTGAGAATGTGCTAAAATCTGAAAACGTGGTAAAAATCGGAGGGCTTTTCTGGATTGCTTTTTAAAACAGTCCATTGGGTTTAGGGAAGTGTGGTGGGTGGGTCAATCGGTGCTTTTGAAAACACTATTGGTTGGGTTTAGGGAAGGAGGAGAGTGGGATCAGTTAGTCAGCCGACAGCGGCCTCTGGTGGATTTACGTAGGAACAACAGCATGAAATGGCACTCGCAGGAGAAATTTTAGATCTCAAAAAGCGTACACAGCGGCCTCTAGTGGATTCATAGAAACAAAAACTGCAAAAAAAAAAAAAAAACGTAGCTCCTGGGATGTATTTGGTGCTCTCCAGAAATGTATACAGCAGTATGTTTTCAGAATGAGACTGTGTTGTAGAAATCACTTGAGGGCTAGTAGATGATGAGTACATTTTCATTTCAGGGTGAACTACACCTTTAATGGTTCTGGATTTTGCAGGTTACAAATGCCATTGAGATGAATGGGAATGCTAGCTTTCTCCTGGTATTATAAATCTCTCTGCAAGCAATATAAAGTATTATATCATGGTTCATGTGACTTAAACTGAAGCTTTCTGGCTGTATTTCATAACCAGAAATTCCCACATCAATACATCAACAAGGAGGGGGAAAACAGGGCTTGATAAGCAATTTCTGAGCTTTAAGTGTTATTTGTATTCGAGGCCAAAATGATAGTGGCCTAAATGTAAATACATTTATCTTTTTTTATTGTTCTAATATGTAAACAACAAGCTCAAGTAATATAGGAGAATACAAGAAATGTTATTTCTTCTTAATGAATACATTTATTTCCCTAATGCATTTTACGTATTACACTTGCTGCAACAATTTGTGTGAGGTACAAACACAAACAAACATGCATAACATTTCCCTTTAAATAGGCAATATTAAAATACATACATTTGTTGCATCTCTTGTTGAATAGTATGAGAATGTGCATTGTGGTGAATGGATGCATAAAGAGTATGTGCTGCCTGGACTACTGCTTGAATTTTACTCTCTCTGTTACTCTCACTTTTTTACCCTATAACCATGTATACAGTGCCAAGTCCAGACACTCTTGGTCTAGAGTGGAACAAAACTATTTATTTTATTTAAAACATTTTTTGCAATCTTCAAATCTAGACCTTTGATTTAGTTTATGTGTATGGATATTTGACTGTACAAAAGATGTGCAGTTCTCCCCTTCATCAGCTCTTTGCATTTTTCAAATGACTGTGATGCAGCCCAAATAATCATGTGAAATTACATTTAGAGCAGTGATATAATATCATTTTATAAACGAATGACTTGCATCCTCAATAAAACTCAAGAAATCCTTAATGACTGCGGTTTGTGTGTGTGTGTGTGGGTTTATTTTTACAAGTTAATGGATCATATCAATCGTATTTGCTTTCATATCAGTTTAGCAGCTAATTAAGCAAATCTAAGCTGAGAGGAAATCTGCTATTCCCCATAAACAAATTCTGAGATGACATGTGATTACTGAATTAATTGTCAGTTTCTTACAGAAAGTGGAATATCATTAATCCTTTTGTATTGCAAATTGACTAGCCTTTCATTATGTTGGTGGCTGTTTTTGCCCCATTGACTTCCATTTTAACTACAACATTTTTTGAATGCAATGCTAAGACACCCAATAATCTTGGATTCTTGATTGTTGCTGGTTTTTCCTGTTAGGAAGAGGTCAAATTTGTCATTTTTACAATGTTAACGATCTAGACGTAAAGTCTAAAGCGCATGGCACTAAAGGCATGTCTAAATCACCTTTTATAACAATAACATTATACGAAAGCAAATTGTCATGAATAAACTGAAAAAGCCTCCCAAGAAGAAGAAGGCATAAAGGCAGTGGTTATTCATTTTGAAGAAAGTAATAATTTTTGTAATATTTTATTCCTTTAAATCTTTTTCATCTGTAAATATATTAGCGTATTGCTGTACATCCTGTGTGTATTAAGTAATATGTAAGGGAGGCGCACAACTAACGCGCTCTGCACTGAACTTTAGACCTCCTTTCTGCTGGTCTATTGTACAGTCTATTTTAGATACTCAAAACAGCAACGCGCCAGCAATGCACCTTAACACACCTCCTTTTTTAGACTAGAACGCCCATGGGCGCACATATGAGTGCAAATGCATTTGCTATTTAAACAGCCTGCTGCAAAACGTCAAAACGACACTTGCGTTGAGCTGATACTAGCAAATAACTTTTGCGTCGCACCTTGGGCCGCATTGCACCGGGTGTATGACAGGGCCAGAAAACTGAACGTTACACTACTGAGAAAACAGTTAAACTGCGAATCTGCAGCACTCAGATAAAGAACAAGCCTCTTCCATTGGGCCTTTTTACTTTCTCTTTACTTTTACTACTTACTCCTTCACTTTCGGAGATCAGGAAATGGTGTTTTTTGTTTCAAAACTATTTCTAAATTCAGTTCTAATTATAATATGGTGATGCATACGTCTCCAAAACCCGACAGGTGGACAAATCTAAATTTGTTTTTATTAAAACAAAAATAATTATGAATATAATAAATAATACTGCTAATATTATTATTATTATTATTATACAAATGCAAATTGTCATGAATAAACTGAAAAAGCTCATGACATAAAGGCATGGAAGAAGAGTTTTTACATCTACTGTATGTA